CTGGTGAGCCAACGCTATATAGTATTTTTATTGGCTATTCAATTTGGTCACATGGTTGCAATCCGGATCGGATTAAAAATCAGGTGTAACTACATGTACACGGCTTTAACGGACCCCCTTATATGGAAATAATCTTCCTTCAAAAAATTCAGTAGTGGCGCAGCATTTGATGGTTATGGACCGTTTGCACCATACATGAACTAAAAATTTGCAATAATGATAACTCCAAAGTTAATGTGGCGGCTGAAGCTGAAATCAGTGCCTCTATTTGGTTTTTAATTTCAGATCGCCGATCTTGGTCTGGGAGTTTGGCTAGGTTTGTGTGTTACACTTGATCTTTTTTTTAGATGCCAAATTAAGATAAGGTAACGGTAAGTAGCGATAGGGATTACTACTGAGAAAAATTTTCGTTTTTATTGGTCATAAAAAAAATTTGTTACATTTATTGTTGCTGAAGCTAAGCTCAATTTAGCGTGAGTGGGAATTGTCTTAAAAATAGATTGATTAAATTTCCTGCTCAAACAAAAATTCTATATTCTGCTCAGCCATTGTTCTGGGCCAGTCTACCCGAGTCATCTGCACTCTTCTCGAAGCATACGTAGTTGCATGGTTAATGTTATTGTTACGCTTAACGGCAGATTTGTGACATCTTATAAGTGTTTCAAAAAATAGCCGCAAATGGTGGCTGGAAAATACGTTTCTTTCTGTCAAATATCAAATTCTCTCTTTAAAAATGTCAAAAAAAAGACTTCACACTACCAATGCGTGTGAAGCGTGCAGGAAAAGAAAATGTAAATGTGTCGGCAAGACGGTATGCCAGCGTTGTATGAGATTTGGACTAAAGTGTGTTTTTGTCGGCACACTAAAGAAACGTGGTCCGCAGAAAAAAAAATTCGAGACGATAATTTGTGAGAAAAAAGATCTTAGTGAAAATGCTAAAGCATCATCACTAAATGAATTCAATTCCCTTACAACTAAAGAAAACAATAAAAATCAAGGATTATCATTACCATCATTATCTCAGCTTGGACTAGACAAATTTTTTGTTCCGTCGATAGATGACCTGAAACAAATTAATAGAACAGGCAATAAACATTGTAATGTCCTATTGATTGTAAGCTAAACAACTCTAATCTTATTATTGTTTAACATCGATCAATCTTCTGATTCGAAACGTAAAATAGATTTCAAATCATTAAAAGAATTACAACAGGTAACTTTCATCCAACTTCAAAGCTTAAATCCGTCTTTCTCCGCCAAATATAACTTTATCGCCGAACCAATGTTTTAATTTCGTACCACACCGATACTAAGAAATAAGATTTAAGATTCTTTGTACGTATTTTACACCAAATTCATTTATTTATATTCTTTTGTTTGTCTAAAACGTATCGAACTAGCGCTTACTTATCGTTATATACAAAATAAGAAAACTGCAATTATGTACAACTAGGTTTCTGATCGAGTATAATAGGAAATATATAGTCTCATCTAAGCGCATACCCTAAGTGTGTCAGTTTCATTACAAACGATAAACTCAAAATTTTAGATTAAAGATATTTGACGATGACGAAACCTTTCGTCACGACCATTTGGAAAATCTCTGTGAAAGTACCCTAGCCATGGCAAAAAAAGGGTTGGTTCACGTGCTAGCACAAACCAATAAAAATTCTTAAATTTTTAATCAATCCAGAAAAACAAATCCGACACAAAAAACGTAAAAAATACGAAAAACAGATGTCAAAATCCAGCTTGGTACACTAGAAAAAAGAGTCGGGAAGGCAATTTTTGCTGGTGATGCTTAAAAGTTATAAACAAATATTACGTGAATCGATCCTGTTTTTGCTTATATTTTTAGATTTTGGAATAGGATTTGTCATGTAATTTAAGCTATTATTTTGATTGATCAGAAAATTTTATTACAGGCTTCATTTATTATTATGTAATTTAAGCTATTATTTTAATTAATCAAAAGATTTATTAATCATCATAAACTAGATACCAAAATGAAAATGAAAAAAAGGCAAATCATGTAATTCTGATCCTGATATCAATTATTTGATATTTCTCTTAAAATTATATTGTTGTATAATGAATTTTGATTGAATATTTTATTGGATCATAAATATTTTACATCTTATTAAAAGAATCTAATTATGTGAAATGAGCAAATAAATGAGCAAGTGAACAAATAAGTAAATGAACAAGTAAATGAATGAATAAATAAGCAAATAATGGACCAATAAAATTTAAGTAAATTAGCAAATATGAATTCATATAGCTGTTGAAATATAATTTGAACATGTATAAAAAGCAACATATATTATAATTATTAGAATTAAATTAAAAATGAGTTCTTGATAATAATATTTTCAATTATTATCTTATAGCTAATTATCATATACTTTTAATTATTTATACAAGTAAAATTTGCATTTTATATAGAATAGATAGTTAAGTGCAAACTCCTCTTTACATCACTCTGACAAAATATTTTTATTTCTTGTATAATTACTTTAATATATTTGCTATAAGTGTTATATAATTCTTAAATAAAAGTATTAGTTATTCAAGCATGTTTGTTATAGATACTATATTATTTAATAATTAGTTCTAAACTTTCTTAATACATTTGTAATAAAATTTATTAAAGTTATATTAAATAAAATAATTAATTATTAAGACTTTCTGAACATATTTGTGATAAAATCTATTAAAATTATATTAAATTAAAGAAATAATTATTATAATTCTTAAATCTATCTTTGAATTATATTTATTATAATATAAATATTATAATCTTTATATCTTTAACTTTGAGATTTTGAAAATATTTTTTAGCTATTCAGATTATTATGTTAAAAAAATATAATTATTATCAATCTTTAAGTAATTTTGTTACTAGTACTTTTTGTAATAATTTTCATATATTCTTGTATCATATCTATTATTTTTTGTGTTATATTTATATTAATTATGTATTTAAATATTTCTGTTCTATACTATAACTCTTTAGAACTTTTCACTATTTAATAAATAAAGAAAAAATAAGCTTTATTAAAATTAAAACTGAAAATTATCTCAATTAATATAATTTATTTACAACAATTAATAAATTTATCTTAATATTATTCATATAAAAAAGTATTTTTACAACTTGGTAACAGCAGATAAAGATTATTAAAGCTATAACACATATACATTTTACAAACACACTTTATACACATAATTTATACACATACTTTAAACACTCATACTCTACACTCACCAATACACATACTATAATAGATCAATAACAATTTACACAATTCATGAATGAATTTGTCTCTTTGTTAAAACAGCAACAAACTCTTATTGATATTATTCAATCTCATCAAAATCAATTGGAATACAAAATTAACAGCTCCAATAATTACAATAATAACAAGATGAAAATGCTACTGATAGTGATAGTGATTAAGCACCTATCATAAATAATAATAGTGAAAACAATATTTCAAATTCCAGTTAAAATTCCAATTTATAAAGCTGAACCAAATAAAAATGTTTTGGTTTGGTTATTGAAAATTAAAAGTATCTTTGCTACTCAAAATGTTATCAATGATAAAGCAAAAATAAATTATGCATTAATTAGTCTTAAAGATATAGCCTTTCACTGATATTTTAACAAGTTAAAGACAAATGTTAATAATACCAATCTCACTTTTACTGACTTTGATACTTCTATTCAAGAATTATACAATACTTTTTAACTATTAAATTATTAACAATATTTGAGAAGACAACTTAAATAACTTTGTTAAACTGGTACAATTTAAGAATATGACATCAAATTCAGAAATCTTGTTGAACAAATAGAAAATATGAATGATCTAGACCAAGTCATTTATTTTATTGATGAATTAAAATCAACAACAAAAATAAAAGTAAGTTATCAAGTACTAGTGCTACGGTTACTTTAAATGAAGGGTTTCTTCACTATTAGTAAAAGAGTCATATGAGTTGGGAGAGAGGAATAG